CTTGAAGAAAGACTTTTTAGTTGTCTTCAATTTTTGTTTCTGACTGTATAATTTGCCAGTGTTCAAAGTGAACTTGCATGCAAGAGGACAAATGTCATGTAGCTTTGTGCAGCCAAAAGCACAGAAGACCACTCCAATAGGGATAATTCTCTGCTGACACAGGGAGCTCTTAGCCAGTCTCCTCCAGGTTGCTGGGATAACAGAAGGAAATGCGGCATGGCTAGAACATCTACCCTCACATGAGAATTTCACCCCATCATGCAAATTTGTGAGAGACCTGCAGTGAAGCAAAACCAGGTGATGGATACAGTGGGGGAATATCAGGGCATGCAAAGGGAAACTTTGACCCACTTTCATATGTTCCCTAACTTCCACTTTGTGTACTCAGGCCATAGGCAAGGACTGGGCTCAGGCCGTCTGGTTTCTTTTCTCCTTTGTCTGGTGTGGTCTCATCTGTCCTGTAGCATTTTAGCTTCCACTTAACCCAGAATCTGGGAGCTAAATTCCATTCTTGAAATCTGCTATATGCCTTCTTGCAAACAGATTTGATCATACTGTACTAGGAACAACTGTCTGTCGTTTAAGAAAGGAGGATGCTCGAAACATTGCCTGATGCACTCTTTTCCTTCGAATATTATTCAAACTGATATTTGCAGTGCAGCAGTGGCTAGAAATCCCAACTGAAATTGGAGTCCTATTGTGGTGGTCACTGTATAAACGTATAGGAGACTGTCCTTAATGTAAAAGCTAACAACCTAAAAGAGGCACATAGAAATTCTGTGAGTTCTGTCTAGTTGTGTAGCAGATCAGTGATAAAGCCAGGGACAAGCTGCAGGTCTCCTGACTCTGTACCCAGTGCCATTTCTAAACCATATTGCATTTTAGGACAGTCTTCTGTTTCCTGCCAACTCATTCAATCACAGCAACTCTCCCCAAAGATAGAAAATGCATCTCAGTAAATATCTGTGAAAGCAGTACGGCCCCCACAATAACTTACAGTATAGGGACTCCGTGTTTGTCACTCAACTCTCATATCCAATATGAAACCAAGGCCTGATGAATCAATGACAAGACTCAAAAGCAAACAGTCAATTAAACAATGTAATACAAAGTGAAAGACCCCTTCTTCAACCCTGGGGTGATAAGCTGCTACCTTAATAACTCCTCTCAGCAAGGACAGCTACAAATGGTGCCAACAGTTGTAAAATCATCCACTCCTTTTCCTGAAATGACCTAATAAAATTGCTTTGATATCAAAATAATATTATGACCTCAGATCATTGAATAAGAATTGTCAGTATCTCATTCCAAAAAAAACCATTGTTGCAGGAACAGAGATTTAGTTTTTCTGAGTGGTTTCCCCAATACTTATGCTACCACACAACACACAAGTGCATGTTGTTAGAAGGAAAGTGTTGATGGAATAACAAAGCCAAAGAGAAAGTCAAAGACCCAAGTCAACAGTCCCAGCTTCCATCTCCAAAGTCAGTCAAAATTTCTATTTGATGTCTTTTCATACCCCTCCCTCTTGGTATGGGTGGGAGGGAGAAAGAAAGGGTGATAGGGAGGGAAAAATAGAATAAAATATAGGGGTGGCCCCAGCACTCCTCTCCCCCCCATGGAAGATTAAATAAAGCCTCATCTGTTGAGCAAGCTGAGATTCACAATACAACAGAAATGAGCTCCAGATGCAGGCAGGATGTAACTCTTCCACAACTCAGGGTTTGAATCTGCTGCATCAGAGTACTGACGTGGGTCTGGCCTTGGAAAGAGTCTGATCCAGATTCATCAGTGCAGAGAAAGCAAGGGAGATTTTTCATCTTTCACATTTTAATGAATAAATGCCATTTCCTTTTCGTTATTTATCTGCTTTTGAATTTTAATGACTAGCTCTAAGTGGTAATTACCAAATTCTCCCTACCGATGCCTTGCTGGATAATATCACTGTTCGATATTTATGAAGTGCCAGGGTCCTCTAAATATAGAAATGTTATAACTATTTGTTAAAATTTTGAAAAGCTGAGAGATAAAGGGAGAGGAAATGCCATTTATTCATTAAAATTCTGCAAATGAAAAATATCTTCTCTCTATTCAGCTCTTGATTAATCTGTTCCATTAATTCATGGTCATTCATATCTCCCTGCTTTACAGCACTGCTGGAGTTCGAGACAGCTGAAGTTTTCTTGACTGGAACTGAATTTTTTCCAGTTTCTTTGAGGGTAGGGGGAGATGCTTCCTTTCCTTTTTTAGCCTTCATACCTAGACAACTCAGATAATTTTGCAGGAAAAAAAGGAGGGGACACATTAACAACACATTTAATAAGAAAGCCACATTCACAAGCAGTGGGGTTTCTAAACTGAAGTATTTCTTAGCCTGAAATTATAGCACAAGCCTCACAAATCTTTCTCTCCCCTAAACCTAGTTTTCTCTACCAAGACTGATTCTCACTGACTAGAATAGGGGAGGGTGCTTGCAGATGAAGAATGATACTCCTGTCCAGCATACCTGCCTCAATAAGCTAGTGCACTTCTAAAAAAAAAAAGTCTCAAGGAAAAAGCCACTTCCAAAATGCATTTTCTGGAGCTGCCTCTATTTGCAAGAGCCTCTCAGTTAGCAGCCTGGAGGAAGATGCCCTGTATTTCAGGTGTTTACAGAAGCATTTCTAGACAAGGCTAGAAATATCATTATATCAACAATATCCCTAGTAGTATCTAAGAAAAGACATTTATTTCTCTGCCCCTCTTTGCTGCCCTCTTCCCAAGAAGTGCTACCTAGTTTTGTCTTCCTAAATCTCCACCTGTCTCAGCACCACCAAAAATCAATCCTGTATTCTGGGGTGAGGGAAGAAGTTTGCTAATGAAGGAAAACAGCTGTTCCTACAATCCAGATTTTTTTTCTCCTCTCAGAAAACACTGCCTCTTCGTGGTCCATTGATCTATCCTTCATTCTTTTTTGCAGTGCTGGTGCTGGGAGGACGGGGTGCTTTATTGCCATTGACATCATGCTTGACATGGCAGAGAATGAAGGTGTGGTAGATATATTTAACTGCGTGCGAGAGCTGCGATCCCAGAGGGTCAATTTGGTGCAGACAGAGGTAGGTGCTAGCAGGTGTTTTCTCATGATTTAATGCCTTCCTGTCAGTCTCTCCTCAACACAAGCCAGCAAGAACTTAGGTCAGCATTTGTTTTCACCTGTAGATGATTATGTGGAATTCTCTGTGGCTAAACGTGACCGTGCACTTATTGAATGCTCACAAGCATAAGCATATATTCATTGCACCGTGTTGCCAGGGTAAATCTTGCAGCTTGTTACCCATCTAATGGTGCTTGTTTAATTTTTATTTTTTATTGATTTATTTTTTTTGCTTTGTAACAAACTAGCTCATGAATCCTGCTATGTACCTTCATACCTGGTACACATATAGGTACAATAATTCTTGGAACAGCCCCTCATATAATTTTACTTCAATTAATTGCATGTAACTAAACAAATAAGTGAAATGCTGCACAGAATATGTTTATCTTATTAGCCCAAAGGTGTAGGGAACATTATTTATTGAGTTATTCAGACTTCCAAGTTAACCTTAAGTATGTATTCACTCCCTTGGAATTAGTCACACAATTGAAGTTAGATATCTACCCAAGAACTTTTGCTGAATCAGGAAAATGCTCAGAGAAAAGTTCAAAATTATAATTCTGTGTATATTGATTCTGGTTGCAATAAGAAGGCTTCAAGTTATCATAAAGTATACCCTATATATCCCCAAATAACAAAACCCAGAAGTCCTTTGTAAAAAAAAAAAAACAAAAAAAGAAAGATGTGTGTCAGTGCATCTGTTGGTGGTGATGGTCCTACAATGGCTTCTAAACATAGTCCTGCTTTTCCAGGAAGGATTACTGGCCAGCCCTATGAGAAGAGGCTGGGGGACCTGAATCTCTTCAGTCTCCGCAAGAGGAGACTGAGAGGGGATCTTGTGGCTGCCTACAACCTTATCAGGGGCCACCAGCAGGGACTCAGGGAAAGTCTGTTCACCAGGGCCCCCGTTGGAGTCACCAGGAACAATGGCCACAAGCTGAGGGAGGATAGGTTTAGGTTAGATATTAGGAAGAACTACTTCACTGTAAGGGTGGCCAGAGCCTGGAATAGGCTTCCCAGAGAGGTGGTGCTCTCACCTTCCCTGGAAATCTTCAAGAG